GGGGGCTTTTAATTTGGACCCCGATGCTCACGCGGACGCCAGCAGCATGTGCGATTACTTCGTCTCCTCGATCATCGGACAAGTGTTTACATGGATCTCGGTCTTGTGCCTGGCGATCACCGCGGCCGGAGCGATCAAATTTAATCCAGAGTTGGAGAGGCTTCGAAGGGAGGAGGAGGAGGTAGTGGAAGAGGAGGAGGAGCTGGAGGAGGAGGAGAGAGGAAGGAAAGGGGGGGGGAGGTGCTTGGGGGGACTAAGGAGAGGGCTGGCGAGGCCCCTTTTGTTGAAGGAAGAAGAGGTCAAGGAGGAAGGACGGCAGGGTGGGGATTTGGGAAGGGAGGAATCTGGGGAGAGGCGATGACTTTTGGGGGAGGACAAGTTAAAAGAGTCGGAGAGCAATGATCGTGATTGTGATGAGCTCAGAAGACTGTTGGATGAGTACCCGACTGGAAGAGGTGAGGGGACGAAGAGCGAAGGAGTGAAGTTGTTGATGGGACGCTGACAATGGGAATGGTAGTAAGTAGGATTCGCTGTTTACAATGAATATTTTGAAGATGTAAAGCTGAAGTCATGACAATAGGAAAGGATGCGGTTAAAGCCATGGAAATAGACCACATAACAAAAATAAGATACGTGCATACATCTCGGGAAAACCACGACAAAATACTCAGGAAAAAAACATTGATAAGCGGACGGCGTCCAATGTCCCTGAAAATAATGTTTACTCAAAATAATTTCGAAAAACGCTTCAAAGATTGTCTCTAATCTCAACAGGCAATCTCCCCTCTATCCCCCCGGGGATATGATAAATGATAACCAACAAAAGATGAAGACCCATGATCGTGGTCAAGTGTCGATAGTCATACACATCAAGGTTGTCTCCCTATTTGGCTGCCTGGAATACCCTCCTTCCACCTGATTATTGTTCTTTGCAATGAAAGATCTCACCATGGCTATCCGTCTCGGTTGAGCTTTCGCCGACTCTGGAACAAAGCGGGTCCGAAAAATGGGCGAAACACCAAATACGGAACGCGCACCAGGGTCACACAGCCCACCGGACGTGGGCATGAGCTTCCGGCATGGAGCTCTGTGGGAAAGGCTTTGCCATCTGGTTGAGGAATCGTGGCGACAAAGCCAACAGTATACAATGGCGAGTTCTGAACAAGATCTTCCATGTTAAGTCAAGCAACCCTTTCCTTTTTGCAAAATTAAAGGGTACACCTGCATCTACCGCCCTGAAAAGCGACTCGACCTTTCTTCCTCCTCATGTCCACGGTAGCAGCTTTTAAAGCAGGGGGGCACAATGCTTTTGTCGTAGGTTGGACCGGAGAAGTGGGCAAGGAGGTTGTCTCGGTAAGGCGGTGGTTGCTGTGATAGCTCCCCAGTACTATTTCTGTCTTGGCCAAACTTGATAGGCATCCCACATCTCCTTTTTTTTTCCTCGACTGCGTATCGCGAAATAGTCTCTGGCCGCCACGGATGCCTACAAGAAAGTTTATCTGATCGGACGCCGCAATGCCGAGCTCCCCGCAGGGCCCGGGTACGAGAAAATGGTGTGTACTCTGTACCCAACGGGGAGCCTTGCTTGCTACTATAAAATTCGATCGCATGAGTTTGTGTCACTTGCCAGACATTGCTTGCTATTGCAGATACACGCGGACCCTCCTGTCCTCTCTCCATCGGTTTCCTTGATACTGACTCTTCTCGCCCTTGCCTTATGAAGGAACAACGAATCCTGGATTTCGACTCCCTCTTGACCGACCCACCCTCTCCGGCCACCATCGCGGCTTTTGCCGACGCCGACGTTGGTTTCTGTTGCCTGGGGACCACCAGGGGGAAAAGCGGGGTCGATGGTTTCATCAAGGTGAGTCAGGAAGGAGCAGGCAACGGCCTTTCGGAAGGGCCGACCCGTCCCTCTTTCCTCCCCATGTCAGGTGGATTATGAGTACGTGCTGGGCGCTGCCCGCGCCGCCAAAGCAGGCGGCCTCCAGGCCTTCCACGTCGTCACCTCCGTGGGCAGCAACGCCGCCAGCCGCATGCTCTACCCCAAGACCAAAGGCCGTGCCGAGGAGGGTCTCAAAGAATTAAGCCTGGCGCGGCTCTCCATCTACCGCCCCGGCGTCCTTCTCTGCAATCGGGCCGAGAAACGGTTGTTGGATCAGGCCGGTCGTTTCTTTCTGGCGCCGGTAGCGGCCGTGGCGCCCACCGCCATGACCGTCCCCACCAAGGTTGTGGGGCGAGCGATGGTAGTCAATTCGGTCCTGGGAGGGGTGGAGGGAGGCACAGAAACGTTGGAAAACGCCGCGATCCATGCCATGGCCAAGAAAGATCTGTAGAAAAAGCGCGCGAAGGACGGAGGAAGGCGGGAATGGAGGGAGGGAAAAGGGCGAGAGGTGGGGAGGGAGGGTAGGGGTAGGAGGACATCGACAAGAGGGCTCCCCGCGGTCAAGGGAAGGGGGGGCACGCCAAAGCAAGACATGGGAATGCCGCAGCCACGGAACGAACGAGCCAAAGGCAAACGTGACAAGGGAAACACCGAGCAGGGAGGGGTCGAAGTGCGGGGTGGGTCTTCCTCCATCTGACTTTTGATTTCGCGCAATCCCTCTTCGAGGGCGCCGTCTTCTCCTCATCCTACAGCCCCCCGTCCCGCCGTTGCTTCCGCCCCAACAACCTGTCGCTTATTTCCGCATTTCTCTTTCTTTTGGCATGGGCTTCAGCCAGTGATCTTCCCTCAGAGGCTCCACACTCACCCAACCACCAGGATGGCAAGCACCCCTGCCTGTTCTTCCGTCCAAAAAGCGATGTCCCCGACCGTCTCCTCGCTAGTGGTAACCTCCTT